GTCCGTCATACAGCTACTAAGCTGGAGTTAGGATCTGAGTCCAGGTGATCTGGCTCCTGAGCTCAGATTCTTACCTGCTGCACTCTCTAGATCTGGTGCAGGATGAAGAAGTGTAGGTGGAAGGACACGTGCTTGTCGTTCTCATGGTGCCCAGATTTATCCTGCAGTCCCTGCCAGTAATCTCGACCTGTGTCTTGTGCTCTAGTTTCAGAGCACAGTGAGCAGTGGAGTTGGTATTTCGAACAGTTGAGTACTCTCCACTCATTGCTGGTAAATGACCTTCTCACGTTGCAAAGCCTCTCATGGGAACAGGGGCCCTTTGGGTGGGGACAGTCCCCTCTACACAATTGCTATGCTCTTTATCACCTTATCAAGAGATTATACAAGATTGTTTGTGACTTCATGGACTCTCCCTACCTCCATATGGAAATCGTGGAGGCCACCTACGGTTACTGAGCCAACAGCGATACTGGCGAAAGCCCTGGAGTCTCTTCCTGGCTGTTTATAATATGAGATATGGAGAGGTTCTGATTCTTCTCTCTTTATTTTGAAGTATTTCCTTAATGAAACAACACGTTTGCATGAGCTGTCTATAAGCTCCCTGCTCTAGGGAACAGAAAGACATGCAACCCCTTTCACAGAAATTCCTAACAGAAGCTGCCAGTTTGAGGCATTTGTGCCAGAGGTGTGTATGTGTGATGTAAAGATATATGGTAATTTAGTCTGTCCAACTAGGTGGGAAGTATGATCCCCACTCGACAGAGAAGGAGAGTGAGACTCAAAAATGGAAATTAATTTTCCCAAGGTCATGCCGGTAGCAGGTAGTGGAGCGAGATGCAAATCAGCTCTGTCGTACTCCAGGGTCTTCACTCTTATCCACCGAGCTATACTCCCACCAGTCCCACGTTCACAGCCTCGGAGTGGCCTTAGTACACAGCCCACAATAAGGGCCATATGCGGTTCCTCAACTCTCTTAAAACCAAAGTTACAGGTTTTGGTGGACGGCACCTACCTTTAATCTGATCGAGCACTCGGAATCCTCAATAGCAAGTGGCTTAGCCCAAAGCAGTTGTTCTCTGCTAGTGAAATCTTGATTATTAGTGCCATGCTAGATTGAGCAGAATTCTGTGTCCTCAAAAGCTCATTTACCAGTACCCACAGAGGAGTCCAAATTATTTTTTAAGAATTTGGACCTAGTCTGAGAGTAATGTGCACTAGTCATGAGCACTATCTTTGGAGTTCAATCTTGGTTCTGCCATGTAACTATTATTTTGGGCGTGTTACTAAACCTCCCTGTGGCTTGGTTTCCTCATCTGTAAAAAGGTGATAATAACACCTGTGTGTGCTGGAAACCACGTGGGGTGTCTTCCTAATTACAACAGCTCCCCCGCCTGCTCCCCTCCCCAAAGCACACCTAGGGCCCTCAGCAACTTTGCTTGCACTATCAGTTGGGGAGATCAAACCTGGCCGATCAAATCATTACCCTGAGCAGTCTGGACTTGGAATTGAGAAACTCTAATACTTTCTGGACTGATCTTAAACTTGAGGGTTCAGGGGCGGTCACATTACTCCCACCCTGTGGTTTGTGAAAATGAGGAAGATGGTCAGCAGGGAGTGAAAGAGGACATGGATGTGAAAGTGAAGCAGAGGTGACACCTTGTACATTCATACTAAATCCTTGCTTTTGGCGATCAGAGTCCTACCTGACACACAACCTCACTGCCTTGTTAGGAAAGAGCTTAGCCTGGAATAAAGCAAGTGCTCAATTAATGGCATTTTTGAATTGCTGTTCCCTTGGCTCACATCTGGAGAGGGCTTTCTTTCAGGCACAGGTCTTATTGAGCTTCTTAGTTTCTACAAGAGAAAATCAAGTTCCCATGAGTGCTATAGACCAACAAAGCTTCAATGTCTATTTAACTGGCAGCACAAAATAGCTGCATCCCAAGTTAAATCCAGGGGGGATAGTCATGTACCAGTAACTGGGGAACACTGAGGGTTGCTGATGCTTCCCTGGGTAGGTAGCAACCCAGTCATTCCTGCTAAATGCAAGCAGGATTACCCTTGGTAGCCCTAGGGAGTCAGATGACATTCAGTTTTCACTTAAAGTTTGTTTGTATGAACAAAGACAGACATTGTGTTTGTCTCTTATACTAACACGGTTGCTGTTTAATGTAGATTCGTTTACCTCCACCCCCCTCCACTAGAGTAGATGCCCCATACATACCGCGCCTGCCTGCTCACACCACATTCCCAGCACTTAGCACAGGGCATGGCAGACACTATGAGTCAATAAGTAGTTTTGGACAAATGAATGCAATGTTTTTATTCACTAACATTCGTAGTTGCCTACAATCACACATCCAGGAAGCGGCCGTGTGGAAATTTATCCAGCTCCAAAGCTGTGTCCTGTCCGCTGTTAGTGCTCTTATGGAGCTTTCACTCTGGCAACTTAAAGACCCCACTGAGGGTCCTATGCAGACCCATCTTCAACCTCATGCTCCCAAAATCTCTTCCACTCTCCCATTCTTCTCTCTACCCCATTTAGTCAAAACCCCCATTCATTTATCTTTCTCTCTCTATCACGTGTTCACTTAATAATTATTGAGGGTTATAAACACCCATTATTGAGCACTAAAGACAAAAGATAAATGATATCCCCTCCTAGTCATCAAGATATAGGAGAAAAGTATAAAATAATGATAATAATAATTAATTACAACATAGTATGATAAGTCCTGTGATGAGATAAGTACTAAGAGAAAGTCATTCTCCCAGGGGTTGGGGTTGAGGAACGTTCTGGAGGTGATATTTGGGCTGGGCCTTGTTAGCTAAAAAGGATTTGGACAGGCAAAAAGGGAAAGAGAAAAGGAATTTCAAGTTTAAGGAACAGCCTGAGCTGGGTTACCAAAGCATGAAGTACTTGGCAAGGTACAGCAACCAGAGCAGCCCAGAGTGCCTAGGTGGAAGGGTCTGGGAGTGAGGAGCAAGAGAGGAGGCAGGGAAGCCGGCTGGGATCCCATGGCCAAGACTCTGAAGGCCCCACTCAGCTCTCTCTGCATAACCCAAATGCCAAACTAAGCACATGTTTAGGGCACCAGCAAAACAGGGCACCTAAAATAAAATCAGAAATGAGGACACTACAAAGAAATGAGTTTAATTCCAACATACCTTTCTGTTTTGTGCAATTTCAAAAACTATTTTCATTTCAGGTTTTAGCACTTTTAAGATTTGGAATTACATATTTGGAAGGTCAACTTTTCAGTGTTTAGGGTCCCTCAAAGTTTCTATCAATTGGGCTTTGGCCCTGTTATACAAATTGGACATCAACCAATCTCAGTTGTGGGTCAAGTAGAATTGAGTTAAGGCAGTTTGCAAAATGGCCTTATGAAAGGCTTATAACTGTACCCTTAACCCAACCAGGAGTACTGGTGATCTCTGGGGTCAGTTGTTTGCCCAGTAGACCTCAAACTGGAACACCTCAGGAGCAATGACAAATGAACCACAACAGGAAGCATGTCTTCCTATAGCCCCAGAATGAGGAAACAGGACCCCCAGGGAAACATCAAGTGCTCCACTTTATAAAGGGAAGTCAACTCTACAAAGTGGCTTAGGGGCCTTTGTAGGGCAGGGGTCTATAAAAAGTTTACAAACTGGTTCTGCTACCCCCAAGCAGCCCAGGCGTCCCCCTAACCTCACATTAAGTAAGATGCCCTGTGGGACAGTGTTCCTGACCCAAAGTTATACACGTCCCCCACCCGGCCAACTTCCTGCCACCATTTGGGAGGGAAGAGAGCATATCCTCCCCTCCCTTTCTGCCCCCCTCCCCCAACTAAACAAGGGGAGTGTGTGTTTCAGAAAATCACTCATCTAGATTAGGAGTGTCTACAAGAAGTGAGAAATGACTACATCCTCAACCCCACTCCCGTTCCAGAGCTAGAGGATGAGAGACATCCTAGAGGAGTTTAACATGTGTAGTGGGGGTCTGGGTTCTCAGAAATGAAGTCGGATGAGGTGAAGTGGGACTCTATTCCAAGAAAATTATATGTATCATGGAGGCAAAGACCACCATACCTGCCTAGGTGCCCAGCAGCAGAGAGAATCGGAGCAAGGCAGAGGGAGGCTAAAGTCACCTCCCGACTGCCAGCAGGCCACAGGGGAGCATCCCTGCCGGTTCTCCTACTGCCTCTCCCTGCCCTCAATTCCAGAAGGGCTAGGCCTGGAGGCAGGGAGGGGAGAAGTGAAAGAGCAGACTGCACCCTCGCTACCTAGCATCTAGCTCCTAGATTGTCATTCTCTAAGGACATATTCCCCATGCCTAGCACAGGCCTGGCCCAGAGCAGACATTTAATACACTGGAAATGAATGAGTAAATGCAAACACACAATACGGCCGGGCACAGTGGCTCATGCCTATAATCCTAGTATTTTGGGAGTCCAAGGCAGGAGTATTGTTTGAGGTCAGGAGTTCAAGACTAGCCTGAACAAGAGCAATATCCCTGTCTATACAAAAAATAGAAAAATGTGCTGGATGCGGTGGTGCACGCCTGTAGTTCCAGCTACTCGGGAGGCTGAGGCAGGAGAATCACTTGAGCCAGGAGTTTGAGGCAGCAGTGAGCTATGATGATGCCATAGCCCTGGGCAACAGAGTGAGACCCTGTCTCAAAAAACAAGGAAAGAGAATACACAATAAAAGTTTATGCCATTGCTCCACCCTCTCCACCCACTGCCTTTTCTCTGTCACGCACAACTTTCCCGGTTTAGGATGCTTCTCTGCCAGTCAGAGGAGGGAGTTCCCTTGGCTCAGAGCCTTGCTTAGGTAACGTGGCATTACCCAGGGTACATATGGTGGGTGGGTGTTCTCCAGAAATGTCAGTTTCTGGGTAGGGCTTCCACAGTCCCTAGCCCCGCCCCTGGCCTTGCAGTGGGTAGAAGAGTATAAATTTCAGCTGTTCTCAGCCCTGTTGCATTTTCACCAGAGAGTTCCATCAGCAACATGAAGTTGGCTGGCTTCCTCCTCCTCGTGATCCTCATCGCCTTCACCCTACAGGTGCAGGAGCTTCAGGCTGCAGTGAGGCCACTGAAGCTTCTGGGTGAGTCCCGTGCTTTGAATGAGGGAGCCAGGAAGTGGGACACCAGGGACCAGTGTGTAGAGGGAGGAGAGAAAAGGAAGAAAGGAAAGAAGGAAAGATCTTTAAGGAAAGATCCTTAAACTCAGCTCCCCAGAGCAGAGTCTCTCCTGCCCCTACTTTCTCTGCTCCTTGCCCCGGGTCTCTGCTCTATCTGGCTCTTCACTCCTCCCCTCTCAGCTCCTCATCAGCCACCCCTCCAACTCCCTGCATCTCCCTCTCCCCAGCTTCTTCCTCTCTTGCTGCAAATAGATCAGATCACCTAGAGAAAATATTTTCTTAATCTGTTAGATATTAATCATCTCAATTTCTTTTTTTCCTTTTACCACCAACATTCTCAAAGGAGCAATCTGAATTCTCTGCCCATCACTCATTTTCCTCAACCCCATGCAGATTGACTACAGAATCCATTCCTGCCCCATCACTCTCCTGAAATTTCTCCCCCAGATCCTGTTGACAAATCTCTTAACTCTGCTCAGCTGTTAAAGTCTTTAACTTACCTCTGTAGCATCTGACACTGTTTGCCACCCCTTCAATCTTCAAACTTTCCTTTCTCCTGGGTTATCTTGCATCATATTTTATTCTTATCTCTAAGTATTGGATTCAACTATTATCCTCTCTCTTCTTCACACTCCTTCCCCCACACTAAACTGGTTGCCAAATACCGTCCACTCTTTGAAACTGTCTCTTGTGTATGTTCCTTCCTTCCCTTCCCACCTCTCATTCCCACGCAGTATTTCCAGCCCTGATTACCCCATGCTTGGGCCATCGCAAGAGCTTCCTACAGCTCCCCCTGCCCCTCTCTTCTCTCTCCCTCCTGCAGTTTGCCTGCATATTGAATCCTGGTCCATTCTATGCTCTCACGCCAGAATACTCTCCCCAAGCAAATGGCAATAATATCCCTCTCTTGGACTGTCAAACCGAATCCAAACTCCTAAGGTCCTTGAAATCTGCTAGCCCTCTGTGACTTTGTCCACTGGTTACTTTTCCTGCTTAATTTTCATCTGTTTCCTAACACTTACCCAGCCTTCCATTTGCCATTCCTTCTGAACTCCTCATGTTTCACAGGGTGAGGAGGGAGGCAGAGGAAGCACCGAGGCTGCAAAATTGCAAGAGGCACTCGCTGCCAGTTTGCACAAGGGCCTCCTGAAATTGAGTGCCCTGGGCGCCCCACTTGCTTCACCCTAACCCCAGCCCTGTTGCATTTTCCCCTTGTGAACTTTTGCTAGTAATTCTTTTCTCATAACCCTCCACCATGCCCCCTCAGTTTTGTCTTAAAAAGATTCTTGCACTTCAAGGCTCACCTTTTCTGATTCATCTAATTGGAAGTGATGCCATCTCCCCTGACCCTCTCTAGTCCTTTGGAGATACTTCTCTCAGGACACTTGTCCCATACTGCTTTGTTTTTAGCAGCACATGCCGACTCTAAATTTAAGTCTTATCTCCATTGTTAGACTGCAAGCTGCTTGCCTTATATACTTAATGAGCAGCCAAACTGCTATGAGTGGGATAAGGGGCCTTCAACCTTCTCAAATCAACAACAGCTACTAGAAGCATGAAGGGATTTATCTGAGGTCTGCAAATACATTGTAGACATCCCCCCAGCTCCCTCCTCACACCCTCAGATACTGCTAATCAATCACAGTACTCTTCCTCTTTAAGCCTGGACAACGTGCCTGAGTATTCTCGACACATCATCAGATAGCCACCTCTATTGACACTGGAGAATGAATCTCATTTCCCCTGCTGGATCCAAGGGCCCCATTTTACAGATGAGGAAACAAAGTCCCAGAAAGGTCCAGAGACAGAATCAGGTAAAAAAAATTCCCAATAATAGCTGAGTAGTCAATCAAAGCACAGCACACATTCATCCAGATCTATGTTTTGCTAGAAGCCCCTGTGAGGTCTTAACCAGCTTTTAGTTTTTTCCAAAATATTAAGGGAGTACAAATGTTTTTGTCACATGGGTAGCTTTTATAATGCTTAAGTCACATCTATTAGTGTACCCATCACCCAAATAGTGTTCATTGTATCTGTTAGGTAGGTTTTTACCCCTCCCTTTCTCCTCCTCACCCCTTCTTGATTTCCAATGGCATTTACTTTTCTCTGTGCCCGTGTGTGCCTATCAATTAATTAGTTCCAAATTGTTAGAGAGTACATGTGGTGTTTGTTTTTCCATTCCTGAGATACTTCACTTAGGATAATGGTCTCCAGTTCACTCAAATTGCTGCAAAAGACATTAATTTGTTCCTTTTATGACTGAGTAGAACTGCATGGTATATATATACCACATTTTGTTAATCCACTCATGAATTGATGGGCACTTAGGTTGACTCCACATCTTGCAATTGTGAATTGTGCTGCAATAGCCTTTTTGATACAATGACTTCTTTTCCTTTGGGTAGATACCCAGTAGTGGGATTGCTGGATTGAACAATAGGTCTATTTTTAGTTCTTTGAGGAATCTCCATACTGTTTTCCATAGAGGTTGTACTAATTTGCAGTCCCACCAACAGTGTGTAAGCATTTCTTTCTGCATCCACACCAGCATCTATTGTTTTGGGACTTTTTAATAATAGCCATTCTGACAGGGGTACGGTGATATCTCATTGTGGTTTTAATGAGATTGCATTTCCCAGATTATTAGTGATGTTGAGCAATTTGTTCACATTTGTTGGCCATTTGTCTATCTTCTTTTGAAAAGCTTCTGTTCGTGTCTTTTGCCCACTTTTTAATGTTTTTCATTTTTCTTGCTGATTTGTTTCTTTATTTTCTTGCTGATTTGTTTGAGCTTTATGCATTCTGGATATTAGCCCTTTATCAGATGTATAGTTTGTGAATATTTTATCCCATCTGTAGGTTGTCCATTTGCTGTATTGATTATTTCCTTTGCTGTGCAGAGCTTTTTAATTTAATCAAGTCCCACTTATTTATTTTTGTTGTTGTTGTAATTGCCTTTGGGGTCTTAATCATAAATTCTTTGCCTAGACTGATGTCTAGAAGAGTTTTCCTACATTGTTTTCTAAAACTGTTATTTCATGCCTTACATTGAAGTCTTTTATCCATCTTTAATTAACTTTTTTTGAAAGTAGTGAGAGATGGGGGTCTTCCTTCATTATTCTGCATGTGGCTACCCAATTTTCTTAGCACCATTTATTGAACAGGGCTTATTTTCCCTAGTGTATGTTGTTGTCTGCTTTGTTGAGGATCAGTTGCTTGACAAGCTTTTTAGACCTACTTCATTGCTCCTCAAGACCAACTTTGATACTCTGAGAACTTGGGGAGGCTCTGCTCAAATCAGGAGTAACTCTTTGAAATTTGGAGATATACTCTTCATGCCAGGATCAGTTTCACCATGTGGGACAGCAAAAGGAGCTTGGCAGATCTGAGCCAGGCACTTCTGTACCTACTGGTGGGCAAGACACCTCTGTAAGCCCCAGCTGCCACACCTAGAAATGGGGCTAGTAAGACTCACTGCATAGGGTGACTACAAGGCACCTTTGATGGCGCTGGATAAATGTGAGTCCCCTTTTCTCCACTCTATTCCCTGCATAGTGGGGAAGTGAAAATATTTAAGTGGGCTTCTTTGCACTTCCCCTCCATGACCACAATTATCCCAATCTCTAAAGTAGGCCTTACTTTTTTGAGAGTATATGAATGCATTGTTTTTAACTGGAATATATAAGACACTAATGAGTATTATTCTGCCAGTAATCATTTACACATTATATTACATATTGAACTAAAAGAAAAGAGTGGAACTGACTCCTTAATCAAGGGCTGTCCTCCTAGAACCTGCACCTAAAGCATGATGGTTTTCAGCTGGTCTGTTCTTCCATAGGGAACTGTGCTGAGCTCTGCAGAGGCGACTGGGACTGTGAGCCTGGGGAGCACTGTGTCAGCAATGGATGTGGCCATATCTGTGCTTCACAATAATGACAGGTAAAATCAACAGGCCCTTTCTACTTCCGCAAACCTTGCACATCCCACGTGGGTTGTACACTTGGCCCCAGTGGGACTTTCCAGAAATGGGTGGGACAGAAACCTATCTATCTCCCTCTTCACCCACTCTTCCCAAGGAAAAGATGCATCCATCATGAGAAGGTGGTTTCCAAACCTTTAAAATAATTTCCTAAGCCAGTATATCCTGGAGAAAAACCAGACTATTTATTTGAGCAAAAAGATAAAAATCACACATAATCCCCCAGTCCAAAATAATGTGTGCTTAACATTTTGGTGCATGTTTTAAACATAAACACACATATAATATTTATATAAAAATGAAATAATCTTGTACCTATTCTGATTTCTTGATTATTTCACTTAAAAATAGCAAACAACTTTTAATATCAATACTGATGTTTCTATCCCATCATCTTTAATAGCCTTAGAGAAGTCCATCATATATGTTTATATACTTAGCAACCTCCACTAGTACACATTTCTTATTTTTCCCTTATTAATATGGCTATAATGAATACTAAGTTTATATACATGCCCTCATTAATTTCCTTGGGATAAATGCTAAGAAGTAAGATTAACGACCATTTTAAGTATGCTCATTTTAACTCTTTGATGTGCATTGCCACATTGACCTATGAGAACCTCTTCCCTATGAAAATATTTCAGGGGCCTCACATGATATTTTCATAGCCATTAATTGAAAAAAATGCATAATAAAAGCTACCAAATTTCAGTTCTTATAAATTAAGTTGTATTAAACACAACAGAATCAGCATATACTTTAAATATAAACCATTTGAGTTCAGAATGTATTATTTGTCCAATCTACCTATAGTCCTTGGGGTACTTAAGGCCTTGCTGACTCTTTGCAGGAACTACTGATTTTCAGAATTGGGAACCGTTGCCTCTCAGTTGTATTCTGTGGACCCAGGTCCCCAAAACAGCAGATCTCAGGCATAATTTTTTTTTATCTATTTCTCAGATGAAGAGTTATCTTAAGAATCATCATCATCTTTCTTTAATAATTGCTCATGCCTTCCTGGAATTCCTACCTTCAAAAATGTGACTGGTTGGAGTGCCTTGACCAGGAAGACAGCTGAAAATGGGGGCCTGTGGATGGAGATTGAAAAGGGTGCAGGGGGAATGGAAGAGAGGGTGTTTCTCTTAATAAATCATCATTAAAATCATCCAAACTATCTGAGTTATTTGGTTAGAGGTGAGGAGGAGAAGGATAGATGACATTTCTTGAGCTATCAACAAGGAGCATGTTAAACTCTCCCCAAGCATCATCTAAGTTATCCTTATAACAACCTTGTGACTACACTTATTATCACCACCATTTTATGTGTGGGGACACTGCGGTTTGCTCAAAGTCATATAGCAGATAAGTGTCAGCGCCTAAACTATGATCCATGACAAATTCCATATAAGGCCTATGCATTATAGCATAGTGGTCAGGAGCTCTGACTCTGAATTGCAAACCCAGGCTCACCACACAGCTGTGTGTCCTTCAGTGAGGGTCCTAATCTTTCTGTGCTTCAATTTCCTCAGGTAATGGTGTATACCACATAGAGCTACAAAGATAAAAGAAGTTAGTTCATGTACAGTGTTTGGCATAGTGCCTGACACATAGAAATCATTCAATAAATGTAAACTACAGTGATTATTATCACAGTACTCTCCCCTTATCCAAGGGGGATATATTCTAAGACTCCCAGGGAAGCCTAAAACCTTGGATAGTAGCTAATTATTTATATACTGTGTTTTTTCCTATACATACCTATGATAAAGTTTAATTTACAAATGAGGCAGAGTAAGAGATTAAAAACAATAATAATAAAGTAGAGCAATTATAACAATACACCAGTATCACTGCTCTTGTGCTTTGGGGCCACTGTTAAGTAAAATAAGGGTTACTTGAACACAAGCACTGCAATACCACAACAGTGGATCTGATAATCAAGATGGCTGCTAAGTGACTGATAGCATGTTTGCAAACATGTTTGCATGTTTGGCCCCTCCAAATCTCATGTTGAAATTTTGACCCCTAGTGTTGAATGTGGGGGCCTGATGGGAGGTGTTTGGGTCATGGGGGTGAATCCTTCATGAATGGTTTGGTGACCTCCCCATGACAATGAATGGGTTCTCACTTGATTAGTTCATGCGAGAGCTGGTTGTTTAAAAGAGATTGGCACCACCTCCTCCCTTTCTTGCTCCCACTCTCATCATGTGATACACCTGTTCCCTCTTTGCCTTCTACCTTGATTGGAAGCTCCCTGAAGCCCAGAAGCAGATGCTGGTGCCATGCCTCTTGTACAGTCTGCAGAACTGTGAGCCATATAAACCTCTTTTCTTTATAAATTACCCAGCCTCAGGTACTTCCTTTACAGCAATGCAAATGGACTGATACAGTGAATAGGAGCAGGTAGTACATGTGGCATGGATACACTGGACAAAGAGGCGATGAATGGGTTGGAGCTGGATCTCGTGAGACTTCACACTACTCAGAATAGCACACAATTTAAAACTTATGAATTCTTTATTTCTGGAATTCTCCATATAATATATTCAGACTGCAATTGGTGGCAGGTAACTAAAACTGAGGAAAGTGAAACCATGGATAAGGAGGGACTATTATATTACCAAATAGATAGGCTCATGACCCTTAGCCCTAATTTTGTAAGACTCTAGAACACAATCCAAGGCCAATCCTCCTTCCTTCCCTCTCCTCATTCAAAGTGTAGTCTGGATACTGAAATCAAGCCCCTCTCTTTTAGTTTTTTCCCATTACAAAATGTGGGAGATAAAAAAAATGGGCTTATAATTTCTTGTCTATGTTCTCCACAATCACAGACTTAAGATTCAGCTGGCCTGGATTGCAATCTGATTTCAACCAATTTACTGCCTGTGTGACCCTTGAAAAACCATGTGAACTCTATAGCATCATTCCTTAACTGTAAAAAGAGGAAAATAATATCTACCATATTTGGGTGCTAAGATTTATAGAACTTTATAGTTTACAAAGCATTTTCACAAACATCCCATTTGGCTTTCACATCAATCAATAGAAAATAGGGGGCCCTGAATAAATAATTAGCAAATTCATTCATTTTGTCAACAAGTATTGCAGAACATCTACCAGAGCCCAGGGTCTGTGCTAGCACTGGGGATACAAGAGTGAACAGGACAAATGGGATCCATGCCTTTATGAAGCTCACATTTTAGAGGAGGAAACAGATAATAAGCAAGTAAACAAATAAGATAACTATAGATTATGATAAATGTTCCGAAGGAAATAAACAAGGATGTGAAATAGAGCAGGGGTGCACAAGCCTACTTTAGTTAGGATGATCAAAACTCTAATGAAGTTTAAAAATGAAGTCTGGAGAGGTTCCAAACACAAAAGAAGGCAATTACAGAGTAAGGTTCCAGATCATCCAATGCAGAATGTTAAAAAAGGAAATGGCTATGAACTTGCTTAGCACTCTTAAAGCCCCTTGGTCACTGAAGGACTAAGAAAATATTGAGAATGAAGAGGAGGTGATGATTTGTGAGGAGATTTTCTTGGGAGGGAACTTTTGCCAAGCTGTGCATTCTCCCAGTTTCAGGATAGGAGGTGGGAGTAGGAAGTGCTACTATCTAAACCTAAGTCAATGCAGGGGACCTTCAAAGACCTCGTTGAGAGCTTGAGAAATGTTTCAGTTGGTGACCACTGCAGAGTAGGAATGTTCCTTTGCTTAGAAGAACTACACTGTCATCCACAATGGTACATTCTATCAGAACTCAACAGACCAGCATTGGCATACTGTATTTTACAATTCTTGGGTCATTCAGTCTTGAACAACAAACACTATGTGTGGTCATCCATGTTGCAACCTAGGATGAACCACACCAAACCCACATACTTCCTACAGGTGTCCTCAAACCACGGCCCGCAGGCCACATGTGGGCCACCTAGCACATTTACCTGACCCTCTGGGTGTTTTTGCTACCGCTGCCTGTCCTGCTTAGCAGCCGACTCATCTCAGGCCCACAGTGTGTACTCTCCAATGGTCTGAGGGACAGTGAACTGGTCCCTGTTTAAAAAGTTTGAGGACCCCTGTCCTATAGTCTCTTCACACCTCCTCCATCGTGGTGATGACCAGGCCTCCCATCTAGCCCAAAGTGTTGGCTACCTCTTAAACACTATTTCAAATACTCTTGGTCTTGCACTCTTTTTCTAACCATTGCTACAGCAGCCAGTTTCTCTCAGGCACCTCTGGCTTAGCACAGGTATAACTTGTCATAGCCTTGCCACAGACAGGTTCCCTAGAATCCCACACTCCTCACTTCTGCCTCAGGGTTTCTTTGGCTATGCAACATGGGACTCCTGCAGGAACCACCAAGCACTGATGTATGCTCAACCCAGAAGCACCACAGCATTAGTGCCTGGTGGGGCAACACTTGACAATAGAGGTCAAAAGCTGACAGATAAATGGTTCCCCCATCCATTCCCCAGGAGAGGGGCTCTGAGAGCATTTCACAAGGCTTATCAGAAAACCCTTGCAACAGCCAACTCAATAGCACATGCTAGTATTGATTCCCCTTCCTTCCTTGTTCATTCCTGAATAAATTACTCCCCTATTAACCTTGTCTGGGGCTCTGCTTTCAAGGAATCCAGACTACAATGTCCAGTGACTAGGTTTGAGTTTCTGATCTTCTCTGAACAAATGTTTGAAAAATATCACAAATATACACATATACATGCAGAAATGCAACATAGACAAAGTCCAAGAATAAGAAATGATATACAAGCATAATGGAATCTAAATCCAAACAAAAACATTTCTCCCCAAAGAAGCCCAAAGCATCAGATAACTAGCTTTGCTAAAGCATACCCCTAGTTTTCATTCTTGAACAGAAGTGTTTTATTCTCAAGATAAAACATGACTTCAAGGATCTCCCGAAGAGCCAGGGGTTAGGATTTGCTTTATATTTGCATAACTTAAAAGCCCTAGAGATGGTTTGCCCATTCTGCCCAAAAGCTAAAGGCAAGCCTTCACTTATTGGGTGGCTGAAAACTGATCACAGCTTTTAAAATGGCCATTTTACTTTCCAGCTTCTTGCTTTTAAGGTTTCCAAAAATCTTGGGGTATCTGGTCACCCTTAGGCAGGCTATATTTTACATGATTCAGTTTAAACTCCAAAATTGCTTTTCTAGTGGGATGAGGTACTTCATGATCCACGGGAGGATTCACACTGGGAAAGGGGAACAAAGAGTACAGCCAGCTGTCAGTTAAGCAGGGAAAGCTGCCCTATATTCCATTGACCAGATTGTAATCACGTAGCCTGAGCCACCTGCTGGTTATTCCAGGTGATTTTGTGCCTAGGGGAAAATCAGGGGACTATAAAACTATGTAAGAAGGATGTCTTAGAACTAGAGTTTCTGCTACTCCCCTCTCCAACTTCAGCTCGAATCTGTAACTCCAGTATTTAATAGAGTAGTGTCAGCCCTACTCAAGAACAAACTTTCAGGGAGGACAAATAGAGACCTCGCTTTTCAGTCAGGGTTCAAGGAGGGTCGGGCGGCGAAAAATCTCGAAGCTAATTTCTGACAAGCATTTGCAGAATACCAGACTGAGGTCCGGTAGTCACGAAAACTGGGCTGCTTACCGTCCAGTCCAAATACAGCATTTCCGGGCCTAGCGGCAGAGCCCGGGAATGCCCCGGAAGTGTTTTCCTGTGACCCTACATAGAAAAGATGGCGGCGGCGCAAGTTGCCGGCTCGCTGCTATGCGGGCGGCCGCGCGAGCCGCCACGGGAGCCGCCGCGGGAGCCAACCCCAGAACAAGACAATGGGTTCTGGCGCCTGTCGGCCAGGCTCTGTGCCCTGCGTCCGGATGACAGCAGCTCCGCCCGCACCGAGATCCACTTGCTCTTCGACCAGCTCATCTCTGAGAACTACAGCGAGGGCAGCGGCGTTTCCCCGGAGGTAGGCGGCGCACCCGTGGGAGGGCAGGTGCTGCGCCTGCTGGCCCGGGCCCCACCCTTCTGGGAACCCAGCTGCTAGCCCTTTCCCGTCTGTTCCTACCGCCCTGCGCCCTAGCTGTGGATATTTTGGATTCAGGCTCGCTTGCTCCCTCCGACTGTGCCACGTTCTTTGTCTTTCTCCACCTGAGAGATGCTGCAGTGCTTGGCAGACGCGCGTTTTTCAA